GTAGTGTGGTAGTGTGGTTTTCACAGCAACCTCGCAGTGGGTAGGTATGTACATATGTATTCCGTATGTAGGGAGAGTACGAGGGAGGTACGAGGGACGAGAAAATAAACTCATAGGCGTTCCTGGGCGTCCCCCTGGCTTCCCTGGGGATCCCTGGCTGGGCGCCTGGGCGTGGCTGGGGTTCCCCGCGGTGGATTGTGGGTGGATGCTGCGTTTCGATCTCGCACAACTCGAATACGAAATATGCGTTTCTTGCTCGGATCTACATCTTGCGTGGGTATCGTCGATATGATTTGATATGATGCGGATTATCATACGCACGAAAAGATGGAGATAGAGATGGCGGGGAGGGTGAGAGTGAGAGTGACAGTAAGATGGGGGAGGGAGACCGCGTCACTGCTACTACTACTGCTACTGCTACTGCCACCACTGCTACCACTGGCGAACCACTATAACTGTACGAGGTACCTAACTACGTGTATTACCATCACGACATGAGGCACAAGGCACAAGACACAGATTATTAGTATGAGTATGTATATATACTACCTAATATTCTGAGTATGTACATAGGTCTCCAGGTATTTAGCAAGGCATGGCCAAGACAAAGTTTCATCATACCCTTCCTCCCCTCCTCCCTCCTTCGGCATCCTTCTCCTCTCGCAAGGGTGCTGACTTTTGATATCCTTGAACTCGGTCCTCGGTACCTGCATTGGTCCAAAGACTAACAAAGTAACATCCAAGGAATAATAGCATCCGCCCTCTCCCCGATGCCGGTCGAGAATATACAGGCTTAGATAAATCAGAAAAAAAAGGGCCAACGTACAGGCTGTCTGTTTGTCCATCTGTCTGCAGCGCTTCGAAACAGTCCATTTCTGGTATATCAATCTACTGTAGCTCATCACCCCATCGTAGTATCTAACAACAATGCCCTCCCCAACGCCGTCGCCGTCGCCCCGTGGTTCTGCAAGGTGGAATAGACTAGCTCATTCTTCGCTTTGCAATTCCTCCAACGCCGGATGCTATACCAAGAACCGCACTCTCTATTAGTGCTTCATGCCACACCCACAATCGGCGATTCCCTCCGCCTCGCGCTTCCGATGCTTGAAATCACCATGGTATGCATCTAGTACCACCAAACTTCCGTCCTCGTTGACGGGCAGACCAGGCGGTCCCATCCACTCTCCCCAGTCCCCCTCGACCTCTCCCTTCACTGAGGTCTTGACCTTTTTGCTTTTCAGCTCTTCCGTAATCACGCCCAGATCCAGGTCCAGATACTCGGCAATAAACTCGCCCACTTCGATGTTCTCATGGTTGCCCACCAACCCTGGAGCGTGGCTTGGGTGTGAGGCGTAGATATTCACGTCCGCCGCGGAATGGCCATGCGTAGACCATCCAATCTGTGCCCGGCGAGAGATGATGTCAGAAAAGTGGTACAAAGGAGGCCAGATCGGAGAAGCGTCGATAATAGCGTCAATCTCGCCCTGTGAGAGGTCTGATATGCCCAGGTTGGAGCTGACCAAATCGCGGAGTTTAGTACCCTTGTCTGTACGCGAAGCATCTGCACTTTCCGAGATGTACTCGCTCCACTTGCGTGCGAGATATTCGGTGGAATGTGTTGCGTTGGCCAGGACTTCGGGGAACCACAGGTACGATGGATATGTCTCGTGCAACTGGCGTGCTGCAGCGAGACCACCAGTCTCATGGTCGGATGTGGACACAAGAACGCCCTCGGTCTCGTCGTCTTCGAGAAAGTCGAGAACAGCGCCGAACGACTCATCGTGGGCCAAGACCTCGCGCACCTGGGCACCTGGGTCGTTGAAATGTCCTGCGTGGTCGATTCTTGACCCTTCAATCATGAGGAAAAACCCCTTGTCGGAGTCCTTGGTCGCTGCCGACAAGGCTTTGAGTGCCAGTCGGGCCATTTCGACTTCGCTTGGGTAAACGTCCGACACATGCACTCTGTCGATTTCATATGGGACGTCTCCATCGGCAATCAAGGCAAGCAACGGCAACTGCAAGTCGGCGGCGCTCAGGTTGTCAAAGTCTTTCTTGTTGTCAACGTAGGTGAAACCAAACTTGTCCTTGGCCATGGCCACGATATCCTTGCCATCGGCCCGGCACGAACCCTCAGTTGTGTTGGGCAGGAAATGACATCGTCCACCACCGATCATCAGATCCACGACGCGACCCAGAGGATAGTGACCTATCATTTGTTCGGCGATGAGATCTTCGTATTCCCTTCGATTCGCATGGGAGGCAAAGCAGGCGGGAGTGGCATCGGTGATCCTCGTAGTCACAACCAGTCCAGTCATGTATCCCGCTCTTTTGGCAGCCTCCAGGACTGTTCCGCAGGGAGTGTGATCTGGTAGTACCGAAATTGCACCATTGTAGCTCTTGAATCCGCATGAGAAGGCCGTGGCGCCAGCGGCAGAGTCGGTAACCAGGCTGCTGGTGCTCCGCGTCCTCGAGGAGCCGATGTGATGTCGGTCAAGAATCAGAACGTCATCTATGGGCCGCCCGGTCGTGTATTGTCTAAAGCTCCGCGTCATTGACAGCGAGGTTGGGCCCATGCCATCCGAGACCATAAATATCATATTTCTCTTGCCAGATGGCTTCCCATCTGGACCCCAACCTCCCGTCCGAGGTCGAGCTCGGCCAACCGTGGATTCATGCTGATATATGACGCCGAGAATGATGACGGACACGGTTGCAAGGAGGGCCCAGACGAAGAGACCGATTTCCCTCCATTTTCTATACTTTTTGGCCGGGGATCGGTTGGTCGGTTGGCCTGTGAGGAGGGCGTCTTCCTCTTCGATACCGTGGGTCGACGAGTTGGGTGAGGCAGGCCGAGCGAGGAGTGGTTCTTCTCGAGTCATGATGATAGAACGGTGTCGGTCTAGAGGGTCAGACTCAGGACTGCGGGATTAGGCGTGGTGAAGCCATAAAGCAATCAACCTCGACGTTGTCCCGTTGCGTGGGTGAGAGTGACTTCATCCACTAGAGGTGCAAGCATCACAGGGTCGAGTTGAAGGGACGGACGCATGATCCCGATTGAGGCTTAGTGGGTGCATCACGTGGAGCAGGGACAAGGTCATGTGGCCATGTGAGCTGCGCTTCTCTGCCTTTTATCACCAGTACTAATTTCCACCAATGTATCTTGTCTCAAGTACCAAGTTCCTCGTACTACAACACTCCCTAAAGAGTCAGAGGCACTTCATTTTACATATGCCACACCGTACAGCACAGAGCTCTGATCACAGTCATTTCAGCAGGACTAGGCCTGCTTCCCACCAGTCATATTCGACATTTGAGCTAAGTCTCAAGTAGCTGATGCTTCACAAAGATGTGGTCTCTATCGAGCGTCGTAGATTGTGTCTGCCCTCTGATATGCCCTCGACATGGGCATGGGTGGCGGGATAAGGCTGGACCATGGCTCAGTCGCAGTTAGGGCTTAGGCTGAGGGGCCTGAATACTGTGAAATGACTTCCTCCCACCCTCCGATATCAATGAGAAGTCAATGTCTTTACCATTCACCATGTCAGATGAGAATGGCCAAGCACGTCGTGTCTGAACAACACTCTGTGCTCACATCAGTCCTTGTATTTATCTCTTGTAGGTATGTCTGTGGATGTATGGCTTGTGCCTTTTTCCCCACCAAAACGGCGATACATTGTCCGATATTTGTTACACAACTAGTGTTGGTGATAGTGGATAAGGTAAGCCATCTACATAACTGGCATGGAAAACCCACCCGTTATTAATGGCTGGCTGGATTGTACCTGAAAAGTCCCCATGAGGCGTAGGAAAGGACTCTCACTCTCACAAAACTTGCCTCGACAACGCCCAGGAGAGGCAGCCACGGGGGCTCAGCCTGATGCATGCCCGCATGGCTGGAACGAATGTGGAAGTTGCTTGCTCCGAGTTGATAATCTGTCCTGAGGGCCAGCCTCATCGTCGTCGTACCATCACAGCAATAGCACACGAATGTGGAAACAGCCAATGTGACTTGACTGGCATCTTCGGATGAGAAGGCGGTTTCATCAACCCTCTGGCTTCTCGTTGGCAAGGAGTTGGGAAGGGAGTAATTTGCACAATATACCACAAGGAAAAAAGCTATATATTAGTAAGAGACGCCCGGCATTTCTCCCTCCAACTTCTCTCATTCGATTGCTGATGGTTGAGTAGCGCAGCCTGATGATCCTCCCGTCACCTCGTCGCCCCCTTGGCACGTTATTGCGCCATAAAAAGGGATGCCCGCGCAATCGAGGGATTGAGGATTCAAAAAGCTGACAAACAGCGGCATTCCTTTTAATTTATGGGATTATTGGCGTCCATAATATTAAATCCTCGAAAGAAAAGCTTTTTTCCTCCTTGGTTTTTTTGTTTTTGTTTAAATGTTCGAGGACTTGAAACTTTGTCGTGAGTTTTTCGGTTTACTGCGATTATTCTCGAGGGCCGATCACTTACTTGTCCGGGGTTGCTCAGCTTTAGGGCCAGAGCGAGCAATAAGGCTGAGCACCTGAACAGACACATCGTATGGTGCCATGGGCGACTCTCTGACCACAACCACAGCCAACACATTTGGAAGATGGATCATTTTCCTCAACTTGGCATTGCATTACAAGAGATGTACCATACCAGCTCCAGACCTTGCCGCAAACAAAGCATTCCGGTCCCAGTCATTGAATCCCAAAGGATCCCTTCTATATGGCACCAATCTAGGATGTTCAATCATCCCACTGCAACCCCGAATATTCGTGGACAAAACCGTTGTCAAAACACGCCAAATCATTCCGCCGTTTTAATTCCTTCCTCATGACGCCCAGTAACGCAAAGCTCAAAGTGTGTGCATCTCGAAAATGAATGGACCGGACCATTTGTGCACCCTTTCATTCGACTGCGTGGGCATGTCTTTCGCCCTAGCATGGGTGAAACGGCAGCAGCAGCAGCATCGTCGCATATGAATACATGGAGCCCTCCGCTGAAAACCTCAACTCTTAAATCAGTTGGGCATATCTCGCACCCGCAAAGGCGGCGACACCGGCGGATACGAAAAGACCAGCCCACACCATCATCCCCCGCTGAGCGCTCTTCTTCATGAAGCTCTCCATGGCTTGAGCATCGTTGAGCTTGGGGAACGGAACGTCCTTGGGGACAGGAACTCCGAGGATGGCGCACAGTGGCTCCCAACCGTCGCGGACGTCATAGAAAAACAGTCTCTCCTTGGGGACGACCTTCTTCAGATGCTCGATATGTCGATCCCACATGGCTCTGGTCGGTCTCTTGGGTTCGCCGGGGCGGAAGTACAGCTCACCGACACGGCCGTCATCGAGGGCGTCGTGGTATGTTCGGAACCACCGCAGGGTGGGAAGGGGAGCCAAGATCCAGGACAAGACAGTCAAGTTACCCTTCTCCACGATCGGGGCCAAGCTGTTCCACCACTTATCGGGATCCCGCACGGTGCAGATGACTTTGGCGTCGGGGTAGATCTCCATGAGTTCCTCGACAAAGGCATTGGAGGGCAGGTCGGTACAAGCAACATATCCATCCAGCATCTCCTTGACACCCTCGTTCAAGGCCTTGCGGTCTGCTTCGCTCTTGACAGGGGTATGTTTAATGATTTCAATCCAACGTTTAATGTGAGCCTCCGGTGAGTTTAACATCTGGGTGCCGCCGTGATAACAGGGGCCATCGAGGAGGTAGGAACAGGCTGCTCCGAATGATGTGGTTCCTGTTCTGGAGAGACCGGCGCCGATGACTTTGAGGGACTTGCCGCTCTCGGGCTGAGATGCTGTCTGACCCATGGTGTATGTCGAGGAGGTTCAGGTGGGCGATGTCGATGCTGTTGGGGGAGAAGGTGAAAGGTCCCTGAAGCAAGACAGTGCAAGGGGATGTGAGGTCACTGGAGTTTGACAGAAGGCAGCAGTCCAGAACGCAACGAAGCGACAAGTCAACCAAGGTAAGGAGAGAAGGAAAGGGTTGATGAAGTCGATTCAGGAGGGGCTGGAGCAAACACTTATCTTTTTTTCCCTCGACGCGCGACCTGACGGGGAATGGTGGCTCTGTCAATGGGCAACCACAGCCATGCTAAAGGAGAACCAGCACGCTGACTTTAGGGCCGCGATGTGAATTGCAACAATCCTAAGGAGAAACTACGAGATTTCCTGTGTCGCGCAGATCCACTTTTGAACGTGCTCGGCCCCATCCATGGCAACTATACTGTGTTAGACCGTGAATCGGCTGTTCAGGACTAACTCAGAATACGGGTCGTGACTTCGCCAACCGCCCTTCCAGGAGGGGTCCTTCAATTTGGAGACGTCGATGCTGACGCCGATCTGAGAGGAAAACCCACTGGCGAACTGAGGATTGAGGACTGTGCTCGGACACCGCAAAAGGATTCAACACGAGGCACAGAGTTTTGAACAAATCTCTAGTGCGACGATCAGATTTAGCTGCGGAAACGCGCACCGCGACCAGCATGGCAGCTCAGCCTCAAGCTCGTGCCCTCTATGCGAGCTCGTGCCCTCTATACGACCCTTCCTCGCTGTGTGTATTCCCTTGCAAAGGCAAATCTTCCCATGCCTTTGTACCGATCCTCTGTCCAGCCACACAAGGTGAACCAAGACAAGGATATCGTCCTCTGACAGGCAAATCCTCCGAGAGATTTCTGCAGGATCAATCATGAACGAATGACAGGGGCAAACAGTTCGAAAGAGTGGAGGTGTTATTGAGGAACTGACTGCAGAGAGTTAGCCAATCCACAGGCTAGGAACAAATGAGAAACCAATGATCACAGCATCGAAGCGACAAGGGTAGGTTACTCCAGGCTGACCATACTACTTCGTCTGTGTACAAACCATCACCGACATCCGAATGCGGCTGTTTCTGAAAAAAAAAGGGGGCATCAAAGTTGACGGATGCAATAATACTAGTCATAATCAGTGTGGCGATAATCTACCAGGTGAACCCTCTTTGCCTCTTTGTCGGGGGTGGAGGTTTGGTTCGGCTGCTTCCTGCGGCTTGGCGTGTCTTGCCTAACGGTCACCCGCTTGGGGAATTCGAACCTGCGACAACACCAAGAAACCACCTGGAAGGACCAAAATGCCCTGTACCTATCATTCAATCGACCCGATACGCTCTCCCTAGGCCCCCGACTACCCCTTGCACACACTTGTCGGTATTCTTCCCCCCCCAGAACTACGAAGCAGAGCAACACAACGAACAGGAGACGAGGCGCAGGGGCCGGATGTCGGAGGACAACATCGTTAATCTCGACGCGCTGCCGAGTCGCGGTGCTGGTCAGCCACAAAAGCACCAAAGTTACATCACGATCGGCATGCTCCATCCCGGAGTTCGGACTGGTCCCTCCCTATACCTACTTCCCCCATTTGAACCTTTTGCTCATCTTGACCCGCATATCTCGGCCGACTTCAAGACCCTGCCACACTGCCACAATGGCTCGACATATGTATGTCGGTAGGGTCCTTCGTGCTGAGCCAAGGCGATACACAAGACTGGTCTACCCGTTGTACCACACCGTGTGACTGGACCGTCTGTGAATTCTGGGCTGGAAGATGCTAATTCAGGAAGACCACAAGACAAATGCTTGGGAGAAAGAAGCAACGCGGTAGGTGGTCCGCTCCCCGCTGGCAGGTTCAAGATGCTCTGTGATACAGTCCAGGCTCAACAGGCTGCCACTCGGGGTAGTGCTTATCCTGGCGAACACCGAATTGAACCAGTGATGCATGATATCGCTTCTCAATTCGACCTGGCGTGGATGGCCGCGTCTCATGTCGACGGATTCTAACCGCCACACCCACCATTTGTTCTGCTTTCACGCAAAAGTACCCTGCTGTTGCTGGTCTAGGCAACCATCGAACTGAACCCCGACAAAGCTATGTTATCCGACAACCGGCTCTCCTGAACAGAACATAACGCTAGCCACGTCAAGGACAACAGGATTTCTTCAGGAAATTGTCGCCAACTCCAGAGACGTTCAGGTGTTCAGCGCGGAGTCTTGGCCAATGCTTCGAAACGGTTTGTCCCTGCCATGTGGCTTGGGTGGCCTTGCCAGACACGAGCAACAGCTGTGGACTACAGAAATGGTCCAACTGCACGCTATCGAGACGGAGCAGCGGACATTTGCCGAGGATCCTTGTTGGGACTGGGCAACTGCAATGATTCTCACGAGATATCCAGCGGTGCTACACACAACATTCCGCATGCTAAAAGCATACGGAGTGGGAAGCCGTACATTTTGGAAGGTTGCAACATGTGCTCAGTCTCCTTTGCTCGCAGATGGAGCCCCGGGGCACGCCATCCAATATTTGCATGGCCGACAACCGATCATTGCCTAGGCTCCGATTGCCTGGGGGCCGATCTACTCCTACGAGTACAGCTGGCTGCTGCTATTAGCCTCTGTCAACAAATCACGCCAATTTATGCACACTGATAGTGGCTGGTGAGCCTCTTTAGCTGCAGCAACTTGTAGCTGGTCACACCAAGTTTGTCGCCTTGAATCCAACAGTCTCATTTCCACCAAGACTCGGACAAAGCAGGATATACATGCAGCAAATGGGAACTGCCCATCCTTTCTTGAGACATGGACGCGCACGATGGTAAAGACTGGCGTCTCTTGGCAATGCGCCGTGGACTCTAGAGTGATGATCGTCCGAATAGATGGGCATCAGCTATCAAGATTTTTCAAGACTCTGGTAAGCTCACCACCCTGCCCCAAACGCTACGGACAAGCTCTTGCATCAGGTATTGGTATGTAGTGCTTGTTTCTTTTTGAATCACCTTGTTATTGCTCTATTTACATCTACCACCCGAACGGTTACTCGTACATACTTTGTAAGGGCAAAATAGACAAAATACTATATGGGGTCGGATGTCGGAGATTGTCCCCCGAGACATACACGTACTGTATGTACCCAATACCGATAGGAAAAAGGCACTGCATCCCCGATACAAACAGTACTACACTCGTCTGCTCGCATCACAAGACGGGATGTGGTAGGTATCAAAGGGACGACGCGCAGAATGTCCCAGGACTTTTTCTTGTATCTCTAGATCCAACCCCTGTGGTGATGAAGATTCAAAAACGCCCAACAAACCAAATAAGACCAACGCACCTACAAAATGCGAATAACACGAGCATGCATGCAGGGAAGGGTTGTTTGACCTCTATTCCTAGCTTGCAAAGAAGAAGACCCGAGGAAGAGTGTACGCTACCTAGGCACCTACCTGCGAGCTGCGCGCGAGCCTGCTGGATACTACATTCTGCATACCACAAACCTTGTACACGGTACTGCTACATAACGCACATGCAATCCTACGACGGATGGATGAGGGTCCCTTAGACCGAGCCTTACAGGACAGGAGCGAGCGAGCGAGTGAGTGAGTGAGTCAAGTTGAATACTAACACAAAGCAATCCGCTGCTTGATATTGCTTCTTTAATGATTCCGTTGAGTCAGTCGGGGCATCGGCCTCTCCAACGATTCGTCCATCCTACGAGCTCTACAAGAATTCAAAAAATACATAGTTTTCAGCCCAAGGAAAGCCGGACCGTCAATACCGAAGAAAGAGGAGTTTCTGAATCATCGAACCAAGAAACACACTTCTAGACTGGAATATGGAGAAAGAAATTGCTATCCAGTCGGTCAGCAGGGTGGTGTTTTTTTGCCCGAGATGGAGGCTTATCAAGAAGGGCTAGTGGACCTCCAGCATTGGGTGGCTCCCTTTCTGTCCTCTGAAGAAATCGCAGAGCATCACATCAAACTAGTACTAACTTTGCCAGACTCTATACAAGTACAGGTCCAGACTGGGGGCGAAGTCAACAAGGGGCAGCACACGCCGAGGCGCCCAGCCAGCGGGATCCAAGCTCACAGGAGTTTCTCCTTGTGGGACCTGCCCTTCTCACGTTGGTCGATAGTACTGGGTGAAATCGTGTTCGATGCTGGAATATTTCTAGAGATTCCTGATGAGCGTTGTGTGCGGTTGGAGCCTGGGAGAGATTTGCTCAACTTACCAGCAGAAATGCTCTTGTCGCCTCGTCATCGCCTTCCAGACCTTTCAGCAGTTGCAAAAACTTGTCGGTTTCCAAAACTGTGTCGGGATCACTGTGCATGATCCTATTCATGTTCTTCATGGATCTTGCGTCGACATATTTCAGGAACTTCTCGCGGCGGATGTCGGCGTAGAGGTCAAGGATGCTCTCGTCCGCCTTGCCCTCGTACAGGCCAATCAGGCAGTCGGCGAGGGCACCGACATCCAGCACGGCCGTCATACAACCATAACCGCCGAATGGGTTACACACGTGCGCAGCGTCGGCCGCGAGGATGATTCGTCCCACCCTCATCTTCTCAACGCAACGATTGTGGATCCGAAACTGGTCAGTCTGTGTGATACTGTACTCGCCTGGTTCGGGGTGGCCTGGCAGTAACTTTTTGAAGGCCGTGTTCCGCCGTTCGAGGTACTCTTCGTCAGAAAGACCGGCCGCACTGTCACCGTAAGTGACACGCCAAAGGCCTCCTTTGCCTCGTTTTGCGATCAGGCCCCAAAAGTCCGGATCGACCATATAATTACCTCCGTCCCAGCCATGTTTCTCAAAACCGTCGTACCAGACCTGTCACTCTAGTCAGCCTTGGGCGCCTCAGTATACCGCAAATGCGGGAGGCCTTGGAGAAACGGACGTTCTGGACCATCAAGCGAAAGTCGAATGTCTGACCGGGCCACTCTCTGCCGAACAGAGATTTCCTCACTGTGCTGGTCGCTCCGTCGCACCCAATAACATAATCGGCAGTGAATCTCTTCTTCTCCTTGACCTGCCCCTCTTCGCCGGCCTCGACATCAACCCAGGCAGACTGTTCATCCTGCCCTGTGCCCACGACCTTGTGATTGAACTTGACTTCGACCAAGCCGTTGGCCCTTTCCATACAGTGTTTATACATGATTTGAATGATCTGATTGAGAGGCAGGATGGTCATGCGATCAGGATGGTCTTTGACAACAGAGAGGTCAATCCCCGTGAGCTTTTGGTGATCGCTAACTCGACGCCAGCAGATGCTGGGAAAGCTGTCAATGCTTTGTTCCCGGAAGTCGTCGAGGATGCCCGCCCGACGGAATATCTTGGTGGCCGGGACTCCATATTGGGTCGCACGGAGTCGCTCGTCCAGTCTGTTCCATGATTCCAACACGAGTGAAGGGATATTATGTTGTGAAAGGAGGAGAGCGAGAAGCAGGCCTGCCGGTCCAGCTCCCACGATGACAACCTATGCTTTCGCTGGTGAGTTTCTTGTGCGACTGAACAAACATTTTGCGGTTGAGTGAACAATGAAGTTGTACAGGGGCTGTTGCGGACCATCCTCACCTTTTCAAACGGTTTCTTTTGTTCAATTGACCCCATTGCTACAGTCTCGGTGACCGAACCCTGCAATTTCGATGCATTGGAACAAGAGATATCTCGGACATCTTGCCCTGACTATATATATAACGCTGAAGTGCTTGATTATGCTCGCTGATAAGGCGTCCAGATATTGGCCCAGATCGTGATACGGAACGTTCCGGGCTTACCATTGCCACAGCTTCGATGGTCTTGACTGGGAAGCCGGCAGATGGAAGTGTGAATCTCACAAGGAAAAGACGGGGAAGAAAGAGACATGTTGGGACCGGTAGTTGAGAGTCGGCTTTGAGAACAGAGAGGACTTGCGTGACACCCGTGGTAAGCTGTGCATGTCCTCAAACATGGGGAACTGGGGGGTTGACGGCTTAGATTCCGTCGTGCAGTTTCTCTGGTCAAATGGTTATTCAGACGGGTCGACACAACCCAGTCGCGGTACAAAAAGGCCGGGGTGGTTATGACGGGCTCGCCTTTCCTGGCGCCATCTGCTGTGGTCACCCAGTGGTGGTGGCGGGCTTTCTCGATGACTTGCATTATATCCTCTTTCGGTCTAGGACACCAAATCATGTACACGTGATTGCAGATGCACCACGTGATCTACGGGATCAAGCGAGGAGACTTGAATGTACCGTGGTTGTTGGTCTTGGTTGACTGTCATCCGAGACATAACAAGTACCATACCCAGCATGTACACTACCTGTTTGACGGTGGTGAGGTGGTATGTCCAAGTCCTTAGGTTGGCACAAGCAATGCCAGTCGAAGATGTGGCGAGTCGCAGCCACAAACCTCGCCAATCACCATGGCCGCAGCCACCATCTATTAACCGATCTTGGCTTAGCGTGTGGCTAAGGGAACAAGGGAGCCACCTAATGAGCCAAATGGCGCCTGGAGCCGTGGACTAGAGCCCCAGGCCAAGTGCGGGCACCACCGCTTGTTCCCTGGCCATGTTTCACGCGCCGCGTCACGCAATGGAGCCCCTGAATACCCCGAGCCAGTCAGGGCATCCATGGGCCTGGATCTCGGGCCCTAGGGAGCTTCTGGTACGCAACCCAGGGCTGCCAGGGCACCGTAGAGCCACTCACAGACAGTCAACACGCACCTGAATGGTGATCACCTGCGTCAAATCCAAGCATAGTAACACCCCGTAATAACATTCTGCGTTGACTAAGTCTCCCTCTATAATTTTTTTGCCTCGCCTGCGCCCCATCCCTGCTTGCCTGCGCATCTCCGTATCACTCGACTCCCCTTTCGACATTCTCTTTTGCTTCTTTTCACACTCCGGCATCATCATCATCCATTGTAATTCCTGCCTTCTTTGCACCCTTCTTTATCTAGAGCAACCCTTTCTCACTCTCGCTAACTTCGTTTGTTGCCTCGGCATCCGCGTGTCATCTGGTGGTGTTGGTGCTATCGCTGCTCGTTGTTGATTCTTTGTTCGAATTCGACCCCCAAATTCCCACCGCGGATTACCTTCTCTCTCGCTCAGCAGCATCTGACGAATATTCTCGACTTGGTTTTTTGTGCGACCAGATCGAGCCCCCGCCTGTTGTGATACTCTGGTTACAAAATCGAAACCCCTTTGTACTGCTCTCGGAGCATTCTTCGTATACCTGTGCATGTTACCGTCGCCCTTTCATTGACGACTGCATCCGCATCCCGACCGACCTTCACCCGAGAGGTATAAAACAAACCGCAATGGCGGGCCGAGTTTTTCATTCGCTCGTCTTTGTTGCCGCCACGTTCGCACCGGCGGTCTTTGCTCAGACCAAGTGCGGCGGTGGTGTTCTGTGTCCATCAGATACACCGTGCTGTTCACGTACGTTTTTTGGCCCCCGGGATACTCTGTGACAAAGAGATCGAGACACTAACAAGCAATGGGGTGGCAGAATATGGTCAATGTGGCGTTGGCGCCTATTGTCTAGGGGGATGTGATCCCGTCAACTCGTTCAGCCTCGATTCCTGCGTTCCTGCGCCTGTCTGTCAATCCAAAACCTATGACTTTAATGATCTCGACGGCGTCATGCCCAACACCAAGTATCTAGGAGATGCTTCTAAAGCTGACTGGGTCTCTTCCGGCGACCCCTTGGAATACAACAACTCGGTGCTCCTGACCATGGCAGAAGGAACTGTGGGGACCCTGCTGTCTAGCACGCACTTTGTGTGGTATGGCAAGGTCAGCGCCAGATTTGCCACGTCTGCAGGCGCCGGTGTGGTCACTGCGTTCATTCTGCTCGGCAACTCCAAGGACGAAATCGACTTTGAGTTCGTCGGCACCCAACTAACAAGTGCTCAAACAAACTTCTACTCTCTGGGTGTACCAGTCTGTATGTCAATGTTCTAGAGATTCTGGAATGAGAATGAGTACGCTAATGGAATTCTAGATACCAACGGCGGCAACACCACCGGCCTCTCGGACGTGCACGCCAATTTTCACGACTATGAGATTGACTGGCAACCTGAGAGCATTACTTGGTCGATTGACGGCAAACCAGTCCGGACGCTAAACCGTGAAGACACCTGGAACGCGACGGACAACCGATATTACTACCCTCAAACCCCGTGCCAAGTGCAGCTGTCATTGTGGCCTGGCGGTCTCCCAACCAACGGCGAAGGTACCATCGAATGGGCCGGAGGTCTTGTGGAGTGGGACTCGCCGTACATGACCAATGGCTACTACTTTGCCCAGTTCGACTCGGTCTCGGTCGAGTGCTACGATCCACCCTCAGGCGCAAATGTTCAAGGCACCAAGTCTTACATCTTTACAGACGACGCCTTGACTAATGCCAGCGTCGAAATCACCAACCAAAATACCGTGCTCAAGTCATTCCTTGGGACTGGCACCAACACGTCGGCCGGCTCTTCTAGCAACAGCGCCAGCGCCAGCGGCTCTGCCAAGACCAGTGAAGTGGCCACGATTCCTGGACTTTCTGGTGTTGGTACTGGCAGCAATGGCGGGCGTGGCGACAACACCACGGACAATAGTGGAAGCGGAGACGACGGTGGTTCTGGAGGATCGGGAGATAGCAGTGCCAGCGCCTCAGGAGCTGCATCGACGGGTTTCGTGCAGGGTGACGGAGGTGACTCTTCATCCAACGGTGCAGGCCAAATTGGCGGCAACAGCGAGACTGTCCTCAAGGGCAGCTTGTTTGCAGTGGTTGTTGCGTTGGTTGGGTTGTGCATTTTGTAATCTTGCAGAGTTTGAAATTTTGATCATATAAAACGACAAAGTATGTGAAGCAAAGAGGTGCAACTTGGGGCATGTCTGATTTAATCATGTTTTGCATTTGTTATTGTGCATGGCGGTGCATTGCGAATACCAGGGCGGTGGAGGTGAATTCGAGACTGATCACTCACTCTCCGCGGATACCAATATGGAGGAAGTCTATGTAATGATGGACCACTAGAGGGAGAAAATATCCTCCAATTTGCAAACATCTACAAATACAAAGGGCTTGAGAGTTAAAAGGGTACATCTCGAGCACAGAAATAATGGTGCGTTGATTGGCTGGAGCTGAAGCTGCCTCCCCACGGAGCGTCGGTGCCACTGAGGACTATGTATGAAGTCATGGGTGCGCTGCACAAGTGCTCGGTACTAAGTAAACGGTCAGTGACTTTTTTTCTCCGCAGATTCAGATTTCCGACACCCTTTAACACGACACCAGCAACAGAGTCTTTGTATCGATGGGGAATTGATGCACTGGTCCTCCCATTAGATATCGCCGGTGTCATTCACCTGTCCCTTTTCAATCCTTCACCGAGTTACCGAGCAAGTACCCAGCATCGAAACACCTTCGGCTCTCTACCTACATAACTCTGAGCTTGTGTCCGATCGGCTATTAGCAACTACGTCGACACAGTCGATACTGGTACTGGAACAAACGAGGGATCGCTCACTCGATTGCTTTGCTCCAGCTCTAGTGCTTCCGTGTGGATTTGTCGTAGGAGAACACAAATAGCAAAAGGATAGAAGGGGGAAATCAAAATGCGAGCTCCGTCGACAGACCTCCTCCGTGCGCTGCGTCACGCAGCAGCAGCAGCAGCACCGCGACAGTCTCTGCTCTCTGTATACTCGCCCCCATCCCAAATATCACGCTGCGTCGGGATTGCCTCTACACGCCGTCAAATATGCCACACTCCATCCTCACCGACGAGACACGTGCGGCGCGCACTCTCGACGACCGCATCGCCGAGTCGCCAACAGACTTCGCCCGGTCCCTCGTCCTCCAACGAAGTCAGCCGCGCCAGACAGATCAACCCCCGCGCGCCGAAAACCCACGATCGCGGCCCCCCCTCCAAGGAAGACACGCAGACCGACTTCTCCAAGATGGACATCCTGGCGAGTGCGGGCGTCGAGGAACCCGCCACGTCCATCGACGCCTGCACGGCCGACGGCTTCTACTTGAACAACGGCGTGCACACGTCCGGCGGGAAGGGCGTGATGCTGTTCGGCGGCGAAGCCTTTCTGTGGCAGCCGTGGATGATGTCCACCACCACTCATACTACCGCGAGCGCAGGCGATAGTGAAGGAGGAAAACCACCACCACCAC